AATAATAATAATAATAATAATAATAATTCTGTTTTTTTGTAAAAAATAATACGAAACCAAAAAAGCAAATATTTATCGATGGTAAAAATCTGCTTTAAATAGATATTGTTTTTGATCAACAAATACGACAAACGAGCATTAACTGTTGAACAACAGTAACATCAAAACAACAACTGAAAAACCAATATAAAAAGTAGTCTATATTATAATCAAAAAAAAAAAAAAGAAGAAGGAAAGAAAAAAACAAACGAAAATAAGAGAAAGAAAAAAAAAACTTTATCCATATATAGTGAATGAAAACCAAAGATGCGTCTAATTTATTGTCGACCAACAGAAATCATTCAACAATGAATTGTATTTTCAAGAAAATATTTTTTTTTTCTTCTCAAATAATTTTTTTACTAATGCATATTGACTGACTGTCAACTATTAAACTCAACAATCACATTAATATCAACAACCAAAACAGAAAAAAAAGTTGGAAAAAATAAGTAGATATAAAAACAGTATCCTGTTAAAAGTTGGTCTTTAATAAAAGCCTCTTTCCTTTTCAATGCTTTTTTCAACCCTTTTTTTTTCTAATTTTTTTAGAAAATAACATTTAAGAAACCATTACTGAAACAACCAAATAGTTGCCTGGGTGAACATTGATAATAACAAATTTCTTACTGAACAAAAACCCACTAATCCAAAGAGTGCAACCTGTATCCATCTTTTACACTGATAACGAATACACTTCAATACATCGACACCAACATTCCGACTCTGACACAAACATAGCATAGTAAACTTCATGCGAAACAGTAAAGACGATATTGTAAAATATTTGAAAAAAAAAGTAAAAGAATTTTTATTTAAACAAAAAAAAAAAAGCTTTTTAAGTCAATTTAACAATCTTTCCACTTTTAAAATTTTTCTTTTTATTTGCTTTTTCTTTAATAAACTATAATTTTTTTTTCAACTTTTGCTCCTCATTAGCTTCTTCTTTTTTCTTCATTCTTTTCCACCATCACCAATGTAATTGCCGTTTATTTAATTACACACTATTAGACCATAAAAGTTAAACAGTTACTGACAGCTTAATGTTTTTTTTACTGATAAGACAAATTAAGTGCGCTTGTGGAATTTCATTGAAATAGTTCAAAGTGTTAAATGATAAATGTAAACTGAAAAACAAGACAGACTTATTTTTAATTTTGCCTATTTTTATGATAACCTATTCAAATAAACTGATACTTTTTAGCATGCTGTTTCTTTTAGCTAACTTTCTCAATTCTACTTCTCAGCAAATAATAGTAGAAATTTATTTTATTTTATTCTTTTTTATTAAATTATTTATCTTTCTCTGCGTTTTTCCTTTTTTTTTGTCAAAAAAAAAACGGACTGGTAAAAGTTGAATCAATGTGAACAAAAAGAATAATCAAATAGGTTAAATTTGTATGTAAAAACAGTTGTTGATATAAACACTCCGAAATATGTATGCGCCAAATGTTCAGTATAAATGACT